CCTCCTGGCCTCAGGTGACCCTCCCACCTCAGCCTTCTTAGTAACTGTGACTACAGGTGCTCGTGCTACTACACCCGGCTACTTTTTGTATTTTTTGTAGACAAAGTCACACTATGTTGCCCAGGCTAGTCCTGAACTCCTGGACTCAAGTAGTTCTCCCACCCGAGACTCCCAAAGTGCTGAGATTACAGGTGTGAGCCTATGCCTGCTTCTGACAGGAGTCTGCCTGCAGTTCTGGGTGCTTCTGCTTGCCTGAGTGAGCAGGCAGAAAGCTAGGGTCGCAAGAGCCAGGAAGGGTACGCTACCTGCTCCACTGTGGAAAGCTGGGGGGATGGACCAGGATGGCCGAGGTCTGGGTCACATCTCAGCATCTCTCTCTCCACTTAGTGGGGGCTTTTCCACATGCTCCACTGTGATGGGGAGAACAAGGCATGCCATGGTTCTCCGTTGCTCTCTCGGAACCAAATCCAGTCTTGGTGTTTAGGCCCAGCTGTCCCTCTACAGCCCCATCTCCCACCGCCCCTCCCATCATCTTCTCATGCTGCAGTCTCATCTGTCTCCTTAATGTCCCTGGCGCACCCTGAACTTTCTCTGACCTTGTGAACATTAGCTGGGACGTACCCCTCTCCCAGCCCAGCAGTCTGTGGAGTGATTTAGAGCAAGGACTCTGGGGTCTGCCGAACTGGGGTTTAAATTCTGGCCCAGCCACACACTAACTGGGTGATGTCACTTCTTTCAGCCTCTATTGTCTGCTCTGTAAGATGAAGATAATAGAATCCAATGAGATAATCTGTGCATATGTCAAGGGTCCATCCCTCGGCCTTGCCTATCATAAGTGCTCCGTAAATGGTAACTGCAGTTATTAACAACAAGCCTTAGGTCTCATTAACCATGATACAATATTGCTTGTAAGACCTGAAATTTATATTTGAGTATGTGTTATTGTATTATTGGTTTTAAGTTATATCATCATGGTAAACTCCTATGCATGCTTCAATGCCCAGCTTTGACATCACCACCTCCATGAAGCCTCCCTTCATTATCCTGGCAGGATTTGCAGCGCTTTGCTGGCTCCCCAAACTTGGCTGTTCTTTAAACTGGGCAACCCCATAGACAGGATCTGCCCCCTTGCCAGACAGGGGGCGACGCCTATTCTGATTCTTCTACCTCCCACTTAGTACGGACAGACACACAGAGAACAATTCTTCCTCCTCCTCCTGGCACATTAAGTCCTGATGTGCCTGGAAATCTCCCTCCTGCCCATATCCTGATCTGATCTTAGGCCGGTCCTGGGAGGCAGGCCCAGCAGGAAAAATTCTTTTTCTAGATGCGAGGAAATAATTTATGCCTTGACTAATCTAAACAAAGGCCCAGTGTTGACCAACGCAGGTCTGCTCTGGGCAGGGTGTGGCATTAAGCACCTTAAATGTGTTAGTTTATCCAGTACTCAGAGCAGCCCGGAGAGTTGCTATTTTTATCTTCATTTTACAGATGAGGAAGTTGGCGTGCTGGTGCTGGCTTCTACTGGCTTATGAGAGTCAATTGTTAAATTTTCAGGAATGGTGGGAGCCAGTTGTTAAATGTGACCGTTGTTAAAAAATTAAATTATTGACTGGGCACCGTGGCGCATGCCTGTAATCCTAGTACTTTGGGAGGTGGAGGCAAGAGGATTGCCTGATTTTCTGAGCTCAGGGGTTCGCGACCAGCCTGAGCAACATGGTGAGACCTGGTTTCTACAATAAATCAAAAAAATTAGCCAGGCATGGTGGCGCACGCCTGTAGTTCCAGCTACTTGGAAGGTTGAGGTGGAAGGATCACCTAAGCCCAGCAGGTCAAGGCTGTGGTGGCCGTGAGCATGCCACTGCACTACCTTGGGTGACAGAGTGAGACTCCAACAACAACAAAAAATTAAATTATATAAACTAACAAATATCTTAAATTAGAAAACAAGATAATAACTACTCAAAAGGCTTCGCTTCCTAATTATGTTGCTACATTTAACGATTTGTTTTTTATTTTTTATGGAGATGAGGTCTCACTATGTTGTCCAGGCTGGCCTCGAACTTCTGGCCTGAAGTGATTTTCTCACCTCAGCCTTCCAAGGTGCTAAGATACCAGGCATGTATTACCGTGCCTATTTAACTATTATCTATGTTCTTAAGGTTAATGATGTCTATCTTATCTGTGGGGAAGAAACACGACACAATGGCGTGTTGCCAGCTCCGATCATGTCAGTAGCTTGAAATCAGGAATGGCAGGATCATTTACACCATGAATGTTAGCAAACATGGCACATCAGGGCTCCCCTCAACTTCCAGCACACCACTGAAGTTGAGACTAAGGAAGCTTGTGACTTGCCTAAGGTCACATCAGGAAGGAACAGAGCTGAAATTAGGCAGTGTGTCTCTGGCGCCCAGATTCACGGACCTCCATGCTGATCCTGCCCAAGGCGCCACATCACACGGAACTGGGATTCACCAGTCTCCTCCTGTGCCACCACCCATACACTCACCAGTCTCCTTTTGCCAGAGTAATACGGGCAGTCCCTCCTCCAGTCTAGTCCGGGGACCTGTGCTCAGCCTCTCGCCCCTCGGTCACTTCCCCCCTCTCCTCCTTCCTCCCCTCTCTCTTTCTCTTCTCCCAGTCCGGCCTCACCAGGGTCTCAGGCCCATGAGGGCGTGGCTGACACCATGCACATATTCAGCCTGGCGGTCAGAGGCCAGCCAACTGCCTGTCTTGTCTGCCCACTCCAGCCTTTGTCTGGCCATCTGCCAGTCAGCTGTGGGACTGCCTTTCAGGGGAGGGACAGGGTTGGGGGGGACTGACCCGCTGTGTGACCTAGGGTCTACCCGGCCTTGCTCTGGGTCCCTGCATCCCACCTGGGACCTCTAAAGCCCCTCCCATCACTGACAGTGGCTCCCTGTGGAGTCCTCTAAAACTCTACGGCTTGCTTGTTCTAAGAGAACAAAACTAGGTTGTGTCACTCCTCTGCTCAGCATCCTCTAGTGTTTTCCTTTCACACCCATGGAAGTCACAGGCATTACAGGGGCCACAAGGTCCACCCCACCCGGCCTCTCAGCCCTGTCTCCTACCCCTTTCCCCCTCCACTCCTCTGCTCCAGCCACTCTGGCCTCTCTCCTGCTCCAGGGCCTTTGCACTCGCTATTTGCATGATTTGTTTCTTCACCTCCTCCAGGTTTTCTCTGTAATGTCATCTCCTCTGACCCCTCTATTTAAAATGGTGGCATTTGCTTTCTGTCTCACATCCACTTGACACTTCCTAGCTCCTGTTTTGGCCCTCCCAACTCTCTGTGACACTTGTCACCATCTGACATGGTGTGTTATTTATTTATTGTTTGTTTTTCTGTTTCTCCTCACTAGAATGAAAACTCCAAGCCAGCAGGAATTTTCATCTGTTTTGTTAATTGATGTGTCCCAAACACCTAAAGCAGTGCCTGGTGCACTGTAGGCATTAAAAAAAAATGGTTGAATGAGTGGATGGTTGGATGGATGGATGAATAAATGAATGACAATGTTGAGAAAACGTCTGTAGCCTGCTGGGAGTGAGGGTGGATATGTGATTGGGCAGGTGTGAGACCTGGAGTTCCAGGCCCAGTTCTGCCTTGATTTGCTGTGTGACCTGGGATAGACCCCTTTCCCTCTCTGGTCCTCTTTCCCAAGTATAATTTGGAGTGCATTGTGGCAAAGCATAAGGAACACAGCCTCTCGAGTCAGATGGGGTCAAATCTACACTGGTACATTTACTGCCATGGGACTTTGGGCAAGTCGCTTTCCCTCTCTGAGTCTGTCTTCTCATCTGTGAAGTGAGGGGAGAAGGGGTAGTTTGGAAAGCTATACGAGGACCATGTGGTGAGCCCTTAGCATAGCGCCTGGCTTGTAGAAAGTGTTCAATAAATAGATCTTGGCTGGGTGCAGTGGCTCATACCTGTAATCCCAGCTCTTAGGAAGTCCAAGGCGGGAGGATCACTTGAGGCCAGGAGTTTTTTGTTTTTGTTTTTTTTTTAGTTGGAGTCTCACTCTGTCGCCCAGACTAGAGTGCAGTGGCACGCTCCTGGCTACCGCAACCTCGACCTGGGCTCTGGTGATCCTTCCGCCTCAGCCTTCCAAGTAGGTGGAACTATAGGCATGCGCTACCACACCCGGCTAATTTTTTGATTTATTGTAGAGATAAGGTCTTACCAAGTTGCCCAGGCGGGTCTCGAACCCGCGGACTCAGGCAATCCACTCACCTCAACCTCCCAAAGCGCTGGGATTACAGGCTGAGCCACCGAGCCCGGCTGAGACCAGGAGTTTGAGACCAACCTGGGCTGTGTAGTGACACCTTGTCTGTACAAAAAAATATTTTAAAAAATTAGCCGGGTGTGGGGGCACACTTCTGTAGTGCAAGTTACTTGGGAGGCTGAGACAGGAGGATCAACTGAGCCATGAAGTCGAGGATGCAGTGAGGCATGATTGTGCCACTGCACTCGAGCCTGGGGGACTGAGTGAGACCCTGACTCAAAAAAATGAAGGAATAAAAATCAGCCGGGCGTGGTAGCGCACGCCTGTAATTCTGGCTACTCGGAAGGCTGAGACGGAAGGATCGCCGGAGCCCAGCAGGTTGAGGCTGCGGTGGCCGGGAGCGGCCACTGCACTCCAGTCTGGGCAACAGAGTGAGACTCCAACTCAAAAAAAAAAAAAAAAAAAAGAAGGAATAAATACATCTTTACTTTTTACAAAAGTACCGAAAGGGCTTCTCTGAAATTGGACAGGCTGTGGACATGCATTGAAGAGGATGGGGTTGCGGGGTCACCTAATCTAGCAAGGCCCTTCTTGCCTCCCCAGGATGTGGCCTAGCTGAAGTTGTCCCTCTCTGAGCTGCTGCCTGGGTCCCTGGCCTAGGTTGAACTTTGCCTCATGGGCACGTGGCCGCAAGCGGACGACAGGTGGGCCCAGTCCCAGGAAGCCCGTGCCACCCCTCACACTCTCCTCTCCCTGCAGTGTTCATCTGCAGCTTCATGGTGGCGGCCCCTATCTTCGGCTACCTGGGCGACCGCTTCAACAGAAAGGTGATCCTCAGCTGTGGCATTTTCTTCTGGTCGGCAGTCACCTTCTCCAGCTCCTTCATCCCCCAGCAGGTGAGGCCCGCCTGGTTTCCCATCTGGCTTTCTGCTCGGCCCATCCCTCTGTCCTGGCCCTGCTGGTGGGTGGCTGGTCTTCTCGGCCTGCATTCGTTTAGCCTGGACTTTTCAGCTCCTTGGCTCAAACCCCAGACAGTTGTCTCCCCAGTGCAGAAGGGTGAGGGGGTCTTTGTGTACTTTTATAAGCCAGCCCTGCAGAGAGAGCCTTCCCCATGCTGGCATGAGCCAAGGGCCTCGCAGCCCCGTGTGGCATCCTGAGCTGCCCTCTGATTTGGGATGGAAGCAAGGAACAGAGTGAGCAAGCTTAGCCTCAGAGTGAGGACCTCGGGTTCTAGTCCTTGCTCTGCCATGACCTGGCTGTGTGAACCTAGGCAAGTCACTATCCCTCTCGGGTTCTTGATCAGTTTGCTCTTTGTCCTTGGGTCAAAGTCCCAGGGAGGGAAACAACAATTCACCATAAAGATGTTTCTCATTTGCCTCTGGGATATTTTGGGTTTGAATATTTCAACTGTGTTGCCTACTCAGCTTTGTGAAATGGAGATACTTACTAAACCTCTCTAAGCTTCAGTTCCATCATCTTTAAAATGGAGACAATACTTCCCAACTTGAAGGTTTCTTGTGAGAAATAGCAGAGTGAATGAATGTCCAGGCCGTGGACAGGAGTTCAACAAATCATTTGTTCTTTGTTCTTTCTTCCAAAGAGGGGACATACTACCTTGTGGGGTAGTAAGTTTCCCATCGCTAGGGGTATTCAAGCAGAGGGTGGACAATCACATGACAGCTGCTGTAAAGAGAGATGAAGGAAGAAGGGGAGAAGACCAGGATCTGTCCCCAAGGAGCTTTCAGTATGACCCTGTCCTCGGGAGCACCCAGGCTTGGGGGTAGGAAGATGTGATAGGAGCTCCCATCCAGGATCTGTCCCCAAGGAGCTTTCAGTATGACCCTGTCCTCGGGAGCACCCAGGCTTGGGGGTAGGAAGATGTGATAGGAGCTCCCATGCTCAGAGCCTTCCAGAGGTACAGAGAGTCCTCACTAAAGAGGGAGCAGTCTCTTGAAATCTAGGGGGTCAGGGAAATCTTCCCAGAGAAAGTGGCATTTGCACTGGCCGGGCAGGACTGGGAGATCAGGCCTTTTGGTGAAGATAGGCAGAGGCAGCCAACCTACAGAGGCAAAAATGGTGGAGCGTGGGCTTCTCACCCATCAGACTGGCAACAATTAAAAAGGCTGACAATACCAAGTGTTATTAAAGCTATAGGGGGTGGAGTCTCAGGCCCTGCTGGTGGGAGTGTAAACTGTTAGAGCTTCTTTGGAGAACCAGGAGGACTACATTTTGGCTAGAAAGGAAGGCGGGGACAGGTCGCGGAGAGCCTTGAATGTCAGATAGGGGCATTCCTCCTTGGGCAGTGCTAAACCCTGAAAGAGTTTGGGGGACAATGGTGGAGTCAGGTCTGGGCTGATGGAGGGGAGACTGGAAGAAGGGCAGAGAGAGTCGGCAGGCTTGTGGGGGACAACTTTGCTTCCTGGGGCAGCTTCATGGAGGAGGGTCGGGCCCAGGTCAGCTGTAGGCCCAGAGTGGCAAGCAGAGCCTGGCAGCCGCAGTCAAAAATAAGGACTGAACCGGAAGCCTCTGGGACCCCTCTGGGCCTTCTCCTTCCCTGACCAGGCCTCTGGTCGCTGACCCCTGGGGCTGCTTCTGGGACTGACCTGGGGGGTCGGGGGCCAGGACCACAATGCCAGGGCTGGGCCCTCCTGGGTGTGTGGAAGGGGAGGGTGTGTTGGGAGAGAAGATGAGCAGAGGCAGAGAGAGAAAGAGTTCACCCTCAATTAATCCATAAATTCATTACAATCACCATCCACGTCCCATGGGGGTTTTTGGCGGACATTGGCAATGTGAGTCTGAAGTTAATTTGGCAGAGAAATTGCCCAGGAACAGCCAAGAACATTGTGAAAAAATAACAAAGGAGATTTGCCTATCAGTTATCAAAATACAGCTATTCTAACTAAAACAGCAGAGGGATAGACTGAGATCAATGAAACAGAGTCTTCGTTTCTGCGGGGATTTAGTGTGGGATGAAAATTGCATCTCAAATAAGTAAGTGGTTTGCTGGGAACTGACTATCCATGTGGATTGAAAGAAAAGTTGGGTCTGTGTTGCAAACCATATTGCAGAATAAATTTCAGATCAGTGGCAGTAAGGCAAAAAGCAAACTCTAAAAATCTAGACCTATAGATTAACAAGAAAAATACAAATAACCCAGTAGAAAAATGGGCATGGGATAGTTCCAGGCAATTCCAGGAAAAGGTGCCCAAATGACTGATCTCTTCTTACATTTAGGAAGAGATGGTGCATAGCCTCTCTAGTCATCAGAGAAATGCGAATTAAAACAATGTGAGCTTCACACCCATCAGACTGGCAACAATTAAAAGGGCTGACAATACCAAGTGTTATTAAAGCTGTAGGGAGTGGGGTCTCAGGCCCTGCTGGTGGGAATGTAAACTGTTAGAGCTTCTTTGGAGAGCGAAATGGCAGAATATTGTAAAATGCTAGCTACGCGCCTGCTGTGGCCCAGCCTTCTACTTGGAATGTAGACCTGAGAGAGAAACTCCAGCTTGTGGACACAGGCATGTGGGGATATTTGTTGCCATACTGAAAAAAAAAAAAAAAAAAAAGAGGGGGCAATAATCTACATTGGGTGTGCACAGATACATGGGATGTATTCATATTTTGAGATTCTTTTTAAAAAAAAAATTATTTGTAGAGACAAGGTCTTGCTTTGTTGTCCAGGCTGGTCTTGAACTCCTGGGCTCAGGCAATCCTCCCACCCTGGCCTCCCAAAGTGCTGGGATTGCAGGTGTGAGCCACCACACCCAGCCCAAGTTTTTTTTTTTTTTTTTTGAGTTGGAGTCTCACTCTGTCACCCAGACTGGAGTGCAGTGGCCGCTCCCGAA